AAGCCTTTATTGCTCAGGCTTGTGTGCCGCTGTTTCTCCAAAGGTGTCATCAACAACACCTTGGTTTTCCAACAGCAAATAGGTCTGCAGCAGGCCTTAAAATGTGATAGATGAATGCAGTCTACACAATGAGTGCGTCACTAGGATTCAAAATTACAAGTAGCGTCACACCTTCTGGCCTTCATGTCGATCTCCAAATAGCGGGGTGGCCGGTCCTGCAGCACCCGGACAGGGCGGGACATTGGTTTGTCGTGCCTCGGTCGTTGGTGTGTCTTGGTAGTAGGAGCATGGACGCTACTAGTAGCTCCTGGCCTTAATACTAGGAACAAGGACGCTGCTAGTAACAAAGGGCATCGCTACGAACGGAGCGATCGGACGCTACTTGGTCCTATAGGCGGTTTGTTCTCATGCGACTTGCGTACGCTGGGTGAGGGGTGTGTGGTTACAGCTGGTGGTTCACTGAACAGTCCATTGGACGAGGCGGGAGCCGTTTGGCGTTTAGGGGTCCACCAAAGAACCCAAAGGGTTTCAATCGAATTCATAGCCAGTCAACTGTATATAACTCTATTGGCTTGCTTGAGTTGCTTCTTGATTGCTCGGTTGATTTATTGGGTCATGTCGGTGCTTGTGCCAGATTTCCCTTCAGCGTTCCTTCTGAATTGCAGCTTTCTCCCTGGAAACATGTGGAGGTAAACGTAAGAACAAACAACTTGTGTTTTGTGCTGTTCCGATGTGGCCACAAAGTACCTGGCACAAAGTGCAAAGAATTGAAGAAGCAAACTAGCCACAAGTGTTTTTCCTCGATCAATCTCAATAATTATATCGATTATATGGGATTCCAACTCAAGGTCGATACAACCACTAGTTCAAGCAGGAGCCAGTTAATAGACACTTGGACACGCATAGACAATCATCGACACATGGCAAACACCATCGGTTGTCACGTGTCTACGGAGACCTTGGATTTCTCGACCAATCCACTCTTTTTCTTCAGCACCACTCAACAGCCTGCTCTGGGAGCAAGAGCCGCAAGTAGTCAAAGAGGTGGAAGCAGGCCTCATGCTGGTAAGCGGTTGAGTGTGGAACTACACAGCGGTCACAGGACTACGTAGGGATGGATAGTTCAAAATCGTCGAAATCAAAGCTGGCATGCTTGCTGCTCCTTGCCCGTGAACATGGCAGATTGAAATCATGCTTATACTTCAAACATCTTCAAACATCCCCAATACTAGCTACGACCACCCGACCATCCCTAAACATCCCTACACCCGTTGGTGCCTGAACATCGCTTTTGAATTGGGACGTCCTCTGCCAACGTTCGTCAACCTGTCCTCTGCCAACCCAGCAGAAGGGCCTGGCTGCATTTCAAGACGTCGTAGGAATTCATGGGTGTCCTGGCACCGCCCGTTCCGCGGACGTCTTTTCGACGAAACCGGTCATCCGTTCCGCGGTGGCCAACGGTCGGGGCCACCGGTTGGGATGTTGAGTGTTGCCACAACCATTGGATGTGTTGTTTCAGATCAAATGTCGTAGCTACGGTCTTCATCAAGCCACATTTGATAGGTTTGTTCATGAAAACTTCAGATATCTTTATATACTAAGCATATCAACTTGTACTGAGTAGAAGGAGTACTGCGGTCTACAAAAACCAGTGCATTGATCCGTCAGATTCTTCACAACACTCCTTCTGCCAGCTTTCAACAGGACCGATGATGTTCCATGCAGGCATTGTATGCATGGACATGGGTAGTCTCCCTGAAACATGGAAGAGGAAATGGTCTTCCAAGGGGCCATTTTTCCACTTCCATGAATATTTCAGGGAGTGTAGTGGCTGACTTTTAACTTTAGGTGCTTGACTGCTTGAGAGCTTCGCCATGCTTCGCTATGCTTCGCCCAACCAGCTGTCCAGATCTGTTCAGTACAGCAAGTGGACTCGGGAGTCAGGTCTGAAGAGCAGTTCGAAGACGTCGTTACATGTCGTTACATGTTGTTCGGTTCCCATGGAGTGACCGGAGTTCTCAGTTTCCTTGAGAGGCATCTTATTCCAGAAGTACCAACAGGTTGTCTTAACCTCGCACGTCGCACTCCGTTCACCTGGACACATACTGCTCCAAGAAGGGGTCATACTTGGGCCAAGGGATGCCTGGCCGGATCTCGCCCGAACGAACGGAACCGGCTTCCACCAGAAACGTGCCGGATCCATGGCTCACCTATAAGAAACATGTTCCTCTTCAAGTAAAAAGCTATGTATATATATTATTCTAGAATTATTACATAGTATGGCTAATTATGTATGTAGAGCAAAGCACATGGTGTTCTACCAGTTCTACCAACTTGATTGAAGGATTGGCCAATTGAGGATGAGTACATTATATGATATATATGTTCTGATTCTGGTTTCGATCATTTGTACCTATATACTATTGTGCTACGGTTCCGCCAATCCAGATTGGCATTGACCTCGCACCAAGGCTACTTCCAAACTACATTGTCCAAATCTCAAGACGTTGGCCCCAAAAAGCTCAGCAAACAGAGTACCATTGGACACGAGATTGCACCAGGTCCACAAGGCGGCACCAAAGGGAAAACCTCACGTGTAGTATGGGGGTCGTCACCCAGGACTGACATACGAAGTCAAATGAGCTGTGTGCTCACCTCAGCTGGAGCGCAATGTACGAAACTGGCTCCAACACCTTATAGTAACTTCTGGCTCCTTTCCCAGGAGTCCAGTTCTGCCTCTCTTCGGTACTTCACACCCTGTATATCGGCCGGCCAGGCCACCTCTTCCTCTCCGGGCCGGAACGACAGGAATAGTTCTATCATGTTATATACTATTATAACGTATATCGATCGGGTCATATATGTGACTCTTCCATAGGAACAAGTACATATACATCATGTATGGACTAGTTACACTGAGGGGTAAAGG